CCACCCCTCCCCGTGTGTTTTATTGTCGAGGCACCCCATCCCTCCACGCGCAAGTCGCATGTCAGTTGTGCTGACTTTTCCATGAAAATGGAAGAAAGTCATGGTTCAACGGAAACCTACCCAACATTTCAGTCCCGTCAACCCAATTTTATTGTTCGCGTTTCGTTAAATGCAGTCATGAAAGTTGGGGTTTCATTGATGTAATCACTGTCCTGATTTGCTCTAAGGGGTCGCTGTCGCTACTCAGGGAAGTGTATGAATGTCTCACACCTGCAGGTGAGTGAAAAAAATTCACACACCTGCAGGTGTGCGATATTCGTACACTTGGATTATTTCCAGTGTAAAATTTGATTGATTTCGCGGGAAATATGTATTATTTGCTTCGACCTTTACTATTTTGGTCATACTAAAGTAATTGGCTCTCTATAATGCAGCCGGTGGACTTCGGTCAGACGCCGAAATATGGCCACGATAATGACGGTGGTGGCCGTGAGGCGGTAACGAACGTGGTACGATAAACCCCGGGGCTTGTTATCGCAACGCGTCGCTACGACAGCTTGTTTGCATTTATTTCATGGTGCATATGCCGGTCGCATGCGACGACTGTATAGCGCTACGGGCCCGGCCGTTACCCAGGAGGACAGCGCACTGAACACTGAACAGCAAGAAGTCCCTGGATCCTGGGAAAGCAAGAAGATCGCCAGCCCAATTTTCGGTTTGCTCCTGGGAACTTAGTTTTCAAGAATTGTCCGCATGATTTTATTCCATGTTACATATGGCTCGTGTCGAAGGAGGCCTGTCAATCCCGAACCCTACCCGGCTACCCGGTGGGTTGGTGGTAGGTCCAACCCTTCCGGTGGCTTGACACGCTACTCCCTCCCCGCCCCAAAGAGACGCACACACACATTATGCTCCCGTCCAGCTCGCAGTGCACCTTGCGGTGACCTTGCACTTGACGCTGCGCAGCCAGGGGCGAGGCACCTTGTTGGTAATGACATGTACCAGTTCCCCCTGGGAACTCCCACGTGGCAGCGGCGTCGATTTCACGTGGCATAAGGGGACGATCCGTAAATTCTACGCCGAGTCTACACATAAATTACGTCATATTTCACCTGGAATCGAGGTCGCATCCAACGTGGACAGAACTATACGTAGACGGTTGTTCCCACAGTCCGACGACGCACTTGCTGTAGTGCGCGCTCGAAAGATCAGTGCTAGCGGCGCGCGGAGTCAACTAAGTATGCAGTCTGCAGATTTACCTTCCCACATGTGGAAGTCTTTTGTGTTAGTGTCGCCCGCCAACCCGGGCCCGCCTCGGCCCGCCTCCTCGCCGCACACCTGCGCACACCTTACACCCCGCCCCATCATTCGGCCGCACACGTGTGCATCACCATCACCAGAGCCGCGGTTGTTTACAGCTTCAGGTCCCTGGACTGGGCTGGGCCGACGGGGCGGGGCTGCCGGCGTCAGGACAACGGTCGCATCGCCTGTAGACCCAATCGAGTGACGCACGGGAACCGGCGCCCGGCCGGCCGTGAGGCGTGCCGCTCGGCACGTCTGCCGGCCCGATGGAGCGCCTGGAACCTGGAACCTGGAGCCTGGAGCCTGGAGCCTGGAGCCTGGAACCGGAGCCGGCCGGTCTCGTTCAAGCCGGCTCAGGTCTCGGACGGCACGCGGCTCGCGCGCAGCGGGGTAGAGAGAGAATGAAAGGAAGAGGTGTTCCGCGCTCGTGGTCAATGTCGAGTGACGCCGACTATCCCTCCCCCTCCCCCTCTCCCTGCCCACCTCTCTCCTACTTCCGCATCCCTCCCGCTCTGCCGCGGCCGGAGCCGGAGCGACCGGAGCGCTGACCATGACCACGGGCAACGGCGCCCGCCTTGGGGTGCGAGCCGCGCCATGCACTCGGACTAGCTCTAGAGCCGTGATAACCCCAACCCCTTGCGGCGGCAGGATGCACCGCTGATAGCCTGGTCCGCCGTACATCGAACCTCAGCTCTCTAGTGTGGGGTCTGTGTTTTGTAAATGTGAATAGTAGTAAATGTGGGGCGACCAAACCCGGCACGGCCCGCATGGCACGAGTTATACAGAAAGATGGGCCATTCGAGAGAGAAGGACATCCGTGTCAGTGTCAGCTGGCACGCGTGAAACAGTAACTTGCGAAAAATGATATGGACCTCAGTGACTAGTTGTACTCTTTTTTTCTTGTTGTCGAAAAAAAATAATTATAATGAGCAGACAATGACAAGATTAAACAGTATCTGCTCCTGCGTGGCATTGTGTACAGTAGGCACATTTACATAAGTCATTTACTCGTATAACAAGCGACGGCTTCTCGGAGAGCGCTTGAGGGATGGAGCCGGCGTGGTGTGGGTCTCTCTCTCGTCCCTGTCAATCTTTGGCTTTGGTTGTCGTCCACGCGCGCGGGGGGACGGGAGCGGGAGCTAGGCCGCGGCCCGCTGGCGGTGCTGCACACGGTGCTGCACACACACCACGGCCCCGCCGCGCACCGAGATGGTGATGCCGGGGACGACGCTCACCTCGCCGAAGTCCTTGGGCCCGCCGGGCGCGCGCACGAAGGTGAAGCGCCTCACGAGCGTCGCGACGATCGTCTTGGAGAACATGAGCGCGTACCGCTGGCCCACGCAGTTGCGGGTGCCCGCGCTGAACGGGATGTAGGCGAAGGGGTGGCGGCCGCGGCTCTGCTCGGGCAGGAAGCGGTCCGGGTCGAAGCGCAGCGGGTCCGGGAAGTGCTCGGGGATGCGGTGCGTGCCCGCGGGCACCAGGCACACCATGCAGCCGCGCGGCACCAGCGTGCCCGACGGCAGCTTCACGTCCTCCGCGGCCGAGCGGAACATGAGCGGCACCGGCGGCGCGTACCGCAGCACCTCGCGCAGCACGCGCTCCGTGTACTGCAGGTGGCCGAGGTCCTCGGACACCATCGGCCTGTCCGCGCCCTCCGTCCCCGGCGCGCCGAACACCTCGTCCACCTCCTGCGGGAAGAGAAGATCGCGTTAAGGAACATTCTTCTCTCGGTGTCGCCGTCTGGCGGCTGACTGCATACGGATCGTCCAGAAAGTACGTCCTGCCTGCGAGACCCGGGGTAGGCCGTCCCGCAGTGCACGCATGCACTGCTGGCAAGATGTTGCCTACCTACCAGGCACGATGAGGGCTTGCAGAGGCTGAACTTCGTGATAGGGCGAATGACAGACGTACTTTCTGGATGGTCTCTTACCTGCTGCACCCGGCTCTGTATGTCCGGGAACATGGTGAGGGCGAGCGCGACGAGCGACAGGAAGTCCATGGAGGTGGTGGAGCCGGCGAAGAGGAAGGTCTTGAGCTCGTCGCGCAGCTCGTCGCCGCTCATGTTGGCGCCCTCCGACGAGCGCAGCACGTGGTCCAGGAAGGCCATGCGGCGGCGCGGCGGCGCGGGGTCGCCGCGGGACACCTCTGCGGACTTGGTGTGCAGGATGCGCGTGACCATCTCGTTCATCGTGCTGGCCGTCTCGTTGTAGGCCTTGTAGCGGGAGCACAGCGTGAACACCGCGTCGTTCTCCCACCTGAAACCATCGCGGAGTTGCGGTGAAACAAGCTCCCGCGGGCAGACCGCGGGCCGCCAGCCGCGACGGCGGGTAGTGCTCACCAGGGCCGCATGGCGCGCCACATGATGAGCGTGCTGGCTTCGTCGAGCACGTTGGCCATGTCGACGTACTCGTTTTCAGAGGCGCCCTCGTTGCCCATGGACATGACCGTCTCCATGATGGTCATGTTGGTCAACATGCCGAACTCGGGCGACGAGTTGAACGGCGCCCCGGAGTCGGCGTGCTGCCGCAGGCGGCGCGCCAGCGCCTCGGCGTTCTTGGCGAAGACGGGCACGAAGTCCTGCAGGATGTCGAGGTGCAGCGACGGCGTGATGGCCTTGCGGTGCCGCTTGTAGGCCGGCCCGTTCATGTTGATGAGCCCGCTGCCGAGGTGGTTCTCCAGCAGCTTGTAGGGCTTGGCCTTGTTGGCCAGCGCCGGGTGCGTGCACACGGCCTGCACGTCGTCCGGGTCCATGACGACCAGGGTGACGCGGTCCAGGACCTGCATGCGGAAGGTGGTGCCGTAGCTCTGCAGCAGGCGGTGCATGGTGCCGTGCATGTCGGTCCACACCCCCAGGAAGGTGGGCACGCAACCCAGCAGCGGCAGCGACGGCGGTCCGGGGACGTTCCTCGTCAGGTACATGGCGCGCACCACCTTGGGCACGAAGCGACGCGCTCAGTCAGTCAGTACACCTCGGGATGGGGCCTCTCCCTCCCGCACAACTGTACTCACCTCCCGAAAGTGCCGCCATAGGCGCAGCGCGTAGGGCGCCAGCAGCACGGCGCACACCGCGCACAGGGCCGTCAGCACCACGCCCATGGTGGTGGTACTGCTGCTCGGGGTAGTCTCTGCACAATTCAATCACACTCACTTACACTCGCACGTTCACTCGATTGCTCAGTGCTACGCAGTTTCGTCAGGACTACTCCTTCGGAGTCCCTCGACGAGGCAACGCGGCTCCCGGATTTTCACACATCCCGTTTTTTACCCCTCTCCCACCAATATAGATGGCAGAGGAGGTGAACCAGGCGGGTCAGCCGCCGCTTGTAGGGCACCGTGGCGCCGGCAGCACTCGTGCTGCGCTAGCATCGACCAGGATCGTCGAGTCGAGTGGGCGGTTCAGAGTCGCCGCTCCTAGTCCCAAGCGCTTCTCGTCGTGCCCTTTTAACGAAAGGTCGCGATCAGACTCCAACCATTCGGATCGCAATAACACAATTGAGTAAAGTCTAAATCCTCCCTCGTGACACTTGACCGCACGTCTCTTTCGTATGGCACATGGTATGATGTGGTGCAACATCGAAACCAATCTCTTCCTCGAAACACGGTAGGGATGTCAATACAAAGGGAAAATAACTCCAAATCGACAGATGGTCCTACGTGGGGGGTGGATGACGTGACGCACTCTACCGGGGAGGGCTTAGGCGGCGCGGGCGGCAGCGGAGCAACTCGCCCGCAGCGTAGGCAGCCCACCGGCCTCGCGCGCTGGGAGTGCGGTCTGAGCGGTGCAGGTCGCGGCGGGACCGACCGGACCCACCGGGAGACACCGGGAGGCACCGGAGACACTCCTGGAGTCTGGAGCTGCCTCCTCGAGCGTACCGCGAGCGTACCTACCCGGACTCGGCGAGAGACTAAGGCCCCCAGAGGACGACGTCCCGCGAGATGCAGCGCCCCCGACCGTACCTGACACACTGCTGTGGTGGCGGGAGGAGGCGTCCTCCTGTCCTCCGTATGGACTCGGCCGAAGGAAAAAACACCCTCCTGCTCATTACTCGCAGAAAGGCATTGTGTGCCTTGATTGGCGACAGAGGAAAGAACCCGCAAATTTGCTAACAATAACAATGTTCATTCAGGAGGTTGACATGACAGCAGATCCGACTTTTTATTTTGACTCGAGACGCACGTATCCCCCCCCCCCCCTTCCTACTGAAATCAGAGTTGCCGCGGACGATTTTCGATAAGTCTCGACTCGATGCATAGCGAAAACGTATCATATCATCACGACACAGAATCAGCAGTACTACCTCTTCCCGCTTACCACCACTACTTTCTGTGACAATGGCGATGACAAGTCACAAAAGACTGTCGCGCAGTCGCGTCGAAATTTAAATGTCTGAAAGAACGATTAACGCTGCAGCGCGGGCACGTCTTCGTGCCTTATCATACTTCCTTTTTTCTTAACGATAGCGCGCCCGACTATCTTGCACGCTGTTTGACGGTGCATCTCGTGCGGCCGGCCGGCCCGGTCCAGCAGCTGGTCCAGTCCAGCCCCTCTGTGTGCCCGCCACTTCCGTAATCTACTGGAACACGTGCTGCTGTGTATGCCCGTGGGGTGGGGCGGTGCGCGGTAGGGTAGGGCGCGGTGGGGTGGGGCGTGG